GCTAGATGAGCGAGTTTCAACCAAAGCAAAATAATATAATTTATAAGTTCTATAAGCCAAATATGAAGAGAAAATATATAAAAACATTTCAGTATGAATGAAATCAGTTCATTCTTTCGAAGCAACAACCAATTCGTAAATAATTTTTTTGTTGCCAAACCAGAAAACAAAAATTCTGAACACTTCAGATTAATATGTATACGTATGAAGTCACGATTAAAATTTAATCTGAATAACAACTTTTTCTCAATATCAATAAAAGAATTAGCGTGGCAATAACATATCGTGTCAGTTATCCTAACCTGAAACAAAAAAGTTCCCAACAACGGCTATTTATTCAAATTGTTGACATTAACCGAAACATTTTGATATGAAATGACGTCATATGTAATCGCGCGCTTTTTTCAATGTCAGAATATGACCTTGTATAATAATAATGTGTTTAATGTTTGGTAATGCTATTTTTATTTCAAATTTTGTAAACTTGGAAAATTTTTATTAACAAACTCTACGATTCAAAAACGAGCAGTGACAACGCTTTTCGAAATATAGCCAAGGAGGTTAGAATAGAAGCAGGAAGGGTTCACGGTTTCCTCCTCTATCGGGGAATGAAACTCCGCCGAACAAGCGGCGTCCATGTTTGTGACTTCAAAACATTGCATTACGGCAGTGACATGTACGTGTTTCTAACCTCTTCCGTGCGTTTATTTTCCAGTAAAAATATGTTAAATTTATAATGAAATCCCTCGCTATTGTTGAATTTTTGTTTTAAAGTAATAAAGATGATATCCATAATTTACTATGTACAGCAAATTATTAAGAAATAATTCGAAATCTAAATGCATGCTCATAACATTAAAGCCTTTAAAAAATGATGTTTCTGCATATTTCACGAACTTGCTTAGGTTAGAAAATAAATCTTAATAAAATAAAACAGATTTATGTGAATTCATTGATTTCAGTTTATGCGCATTTCATATTTATTAATCTCAAAGAAACTGCCTTTAATTAAGTTGAATTACAGAAATACACCTATATAAGTTTTTGGATACATCTTTCCACATGTTCAATTGTGTAAATATTTTACTTAATTTTATCACTATACTGCCCAGAAATTTGTAAGTTTATGCAAAAAATTTTTAATAACAGAACAGTTTATCTTAACTTAAAAAAATGAATAATAATTAATATATAAAGAAAAGCATTGCTTTATTTAACACCTTTACAATTAATAAAAATAGTAACAATTGATTTCTTACTTTTCATGAAAGTTATAAAACGAATTAACTAAAACGTTCAAATTATACAATTTAAATCCTACCATATAGCATTGTATCTTAAGGAACGAAGATACCAGCTATAAACAGAAACATTAGAATGTATTTAATATATTTTGATTATAGTTATATTAAATAACCTATTTTAAGTTCTTTTTTTTCACATCTGGAAAGAAAACCACATGACATTGTGATATTTTTTTGACATAGTTGTCATATTACATAAAAAAAGAAAATTAATACTTACGTGTGAAAAATAATGCCCGGAATTTTTTTCGAGAATCTATTTGTGCATCCATATGCAATACAAGCTGACATGCTTCAAAAAGAAAAGAAAAAAATGTTGCAATGACAGACTTCCTTGCACAAGTCACGGTGATAACAGGAAGATGGCCGGCAAGCTTCACCGTTTGAATTGAACCTTCCCTCCTTCTATTCTAACCTCCTTGAATATAGCAGATTTTTATCTCAGCTCGCGATACTGTTGCCACTCAGAAAAATGAGAGTGAAAATTACCGCTTTCATGGTTATCTCTAGCTCTTTCAGGGTAATCTCAGCTGATTAAGTTCTTACGAACATGAGAAGGGTCGAAATGGCTTCCACGAAATTTTAAAATCCAGTGGTACCTTTCTCGAAACTCAACTCCCCGCCGTTCCGGAGGAGATAGTGCCACAAACAAACGCACAGACTTTCACATATTTTAATAGTATAGATTTTATCGTATTTTTTTAACCTCAACAAAATGCATATACATTCAAAAATCAAAATATTTTCTGTTCCGTAAAACAAAATACAAAGCTTTTGTGATAGACAGTCCCGCGTGCTGGAGATAAACATATTTGATTCCATACAGTATGTTGCCACTGCTCGCTTTGAAATTCTTGAGTTTCTTAATAGAATTAAGAACATTAGTTATTTTAAGCATTTCCGTTGATGAAATAGGAAGCGCCATCTCTATAATTAAATCTATAATTCGTCTATAATATATAATCTGATCTATTAACCTATAATGTGATCTATTAATCTATAATGTGATCTATTAATTTATAATCTGAAGTACTGTAGTTAATGAAATATGTTTCTAATGCTAATATGTGTGTTTACAAATATCGTTAATTTTCTTTGTTAGTTTTGTATTTATTACTCTTATTCAAGTAATTAGCCTGCTTAGTGGATATTATTTACAATTGTTTAATAATTATATTTATCCCTGTTTTGTTTTACGTTTTACGATCTTTGGCTATAGTTTGACATTAAAAGTAGAGTTTAGCAGTAACCCTTCAGTTTTTTTAAAGGGAAGAGCTAAATATTGCTTGTACTTGCTTGAATCCAACTTAAGCTGTATTTTTCTGATGATGGTCGACGGAAAAACAAAATAGATATCCATACACACACACACAGGGGGAAAAACAGAAAAGGAAGAATTAAAATGAAAACTACACTGGAATTAAGGAAAAATCACAAAAATCACGATAACTGAAAATGTTACATCTAGAATTTTATGAAACTAATACACAACATACAACACATAGTAAGGTATCAAGTACCATAAAAAGAAATTACCAGACAAATATGGTAGTATAGAAATTAGCACATGTATAAAATGAACAAATCGAAGGTGTCAGTTTGCTATAGGAAAAGTACCTTCAATATGGAATATGATCGCCTCTAGAAGCAATACAGCACATACAGCGATGTGTGATGTTTTCAGTTATGCGGTCTATCAGTTCCATAGGAAGCGAGAGCCATTGCTCTTGCAAAACAGTTGCAAGCGCGACAAGAATTTGAGGGGGCGGATTGAGAGCAGCTAGACGTCTCCCCTAAAGCATCCCAAACGTGCTCGATAGGATTCAAGTCCGAGGATCGAGCTGGCCACTCCATGCGCATGATTGTTTCCTGTTGAAGATAATCATCTACGATACGAGCCCTGTGTGGTATTGCGTTGTCGTCCTGTAACAGGAAAGCATCACCTATTGCCTCGGCATATGGGCGCACATAAACTTCAAGGATGTCATCTCATCTCTATAAATCTGAGCAGTCACGGTTCCCCTTGAAAAGACATGGAGGTCTGTGCTTCCACTAAAGAGATGCCACCCCAAACACAGACACTGCCCCTTTCGTATGCATCCCTTTCACGGATGTTTGACGGATGATAACGGGTTCTAGGTTCCCTCCATATCAAATAACGCCTACTATCGGTTTCCAGTCTAAACTTGGACTCATCCGTAAAGAGAACCGCCCTCCATTGATCAGGCGTCCAGTGGACATGCTGCGTGCCCACTGAAAACGGTCCCTCCTATGGCGTGGCGTGAGCGGTACACAAATGGCTGGTCGCCTGGCATACAGACCACCTTCGTGAAGCCTTCTACGCACAGCTGACGTTGACATGAACCTTCCGGTGGCTGCAGCAGGGGACGATCTAAGAAGAGTCGGAGTAGCGGTTCTATTCCTGCGTGCACATAGTGTCAAATATCGGTCCTCGGCGCTCGTCGTAGCAGTTGGACGTCCTTGGCTGAACCTCCTAGATGCTGAATCTGTGGTTTGAAATTGCCTCCAAAGTCTATGAACCACAGAAGGACTCACATTTAGCCATCTGGCCACTTCTGTTTGACTTGTCCTTCCTCTAGTCTCCCAAAGTCTCTCCATCGCAGTTCCGCAGGCAAATGATGCCTAGTGGTCATTGTTACGAATTGGCTATCTCAGATTTCTGATGTCACTGTCACAGTGAAATATGTGAGCTTGCTCTCAAACATGGACTTTTATGCTCCTCGCAGATGACGTATTCCGAGTGCAGCGCCATTAATTTGCATATTGGAGTTTTACTCAGCTACTCTTACTTGGCAACATATTCAAATTTTACACGGTTTGGCTTATTTTTGAGGGAGTTATCGCTATTTTTGTGATTTTTCCTTAATTTATGATAACAAGTGTGTAGTTAATTAAGTAAACCTTGAATTCACGAGATTTAAAGTATATATCCGAGACACCGGGATATTTTTATTAACAATTAAACTCTTCCATTGAAAATGAAATGAAAACAATATCTAGCTTACTGTATATGTCAGTCATTTCCTTTCATACCGACAAGTCTTCAAATGAACTTTAGCACTGAACGCAAAAAACTCACAGTGATATTAATTAACTGCTTTTCTCCAAGTCAAACCTCACTAAACTCCTATTTTTTATTCCAGCTAAATTTTAATGTATTTAAAAGTGAATGATTTGAAGCTAAAGGGAAAAAAATCTGATGTGGACATCACATAACTTCCTTGTATGGCCTATTAAATTATACACATTTTTCACTGAATTTCATTTAAAGTTATTTTCTTGAATTTCATTAGAGATATATTTTTCATTCAATTGATTCAGTTATCCCTTCGCCGCAAAGCAAAATTACATAAAATGTCAAAATCTTCATTAAAAATTGCAAAATATAGAAAAACATAAAACACCAAATAGAGTTAAAACAGTTTAAGAAAATTTTTTTTACAATTAAAATTAGAGTTTTTGCGTTAAAACAAGCAATTCGGGCAGCGGGCAAGAAAGCAGATTTTTCGTTGCACAAACTGAAAGTTTACTTTTGATCTCACTCGGCAAAAAGACATTGAAGTTTGTGCGCAAACTGACTTAATTCATTATTCTACTATTTCAAATGTTAATAAGTGGCGGCTTCGTTAGGCTTAACTCATCATTTGAACTTTTAAATTGTTGGTAATTCTACAATTATTGCACGCAGATTAATAAAGGCATAAAATCACATGGTTCAATCACTTTTAAAGCAAAACGTGCACATTTTACCAACATATAAGAATACTAGTTTTGAGTGTATTACACGTTCCGCCTTGTTAGGTGCTGGTACTACGCGGTCAAGCCACCTCCAGAATAGGCCCAGAGGTTCAACCTATGTCCATGCACCTTGAAGAGGATTCACACCAGCCGCCATACGGCGACGCTGGTCGTCTATTTGCTACCTACCCGCTTGGACAGTCGCTCGGGCTGTTCGTCGCAGGTGACAGATGACGGAGAACAGGGGCGCCTGGGCGTCTACCAGAGGTAAGCAGGTGTATGCCCCTCATCCTCCACTATCCAGCGCTTTATTTTTATTTTTTTTAAGGTTTTTATGCATGAATAATATAATATTATTTAGTCATATAACTTAAATCGATACTTAGTATTTTACATCTTAACTTTTGCATTTTAACTGTATACGCACCAGCATTATGCTTTAATAATCCTGTTTGATTATATACTGTATCATGCATATGTAGGAAATTGTATGGTTTATTTATATTGTACGATATCGTAAGTGCTGTAAAGTATGACCTGTAGTCCCACTAGTCTCTAGATAAGGGTGGACGTGGTGCTATTACCAATTAACCATAACGGTAAAGGGATGGTGCCCACGTCCTCCGTCACTAAACTAAACTAAACTATCCAGCGCTTCTCGAAGAATTAAAGGAGTTGGGTGAGAAACATGGCCTTACAGGGAATAGGTAGCTACAAATTTTGGAACAGAGGGTGCAAGAAAAATATTGCAATGCAAGTAAATATAGCAGAGAACTTAAACCATAAAGTAATACAATAAATAACTAGAGCAATATAAAGTACATAAGTAAAAAATACGTAAAAAAATAAATAGTGGAATGGGAAAGAGACAGCTCAGCGATAGAAAGTCTTATATGTCCTTGCAAATGTCCTGTCCCAGGGCTGCAATAGGGATCTCTGACATATCTCAGGCACAGTCACACGATTTTGTGTAATAAAGCGTCTGTGAGTGCCCACATCGCTGAAGCACTGACGTGGGTGAGTGGCAATGGTGAGAGGGCATTGATAGACGTAGTAGTCTGGGGTGCCTTCTGCTCCGCAAACGCAGGTTGCAGTTTCGGAAATGCCAAAGAAAAGGCAAGGTTGCCCATCGCAGAAGGACATTACTCAGCAAACTTCTGGACAGTTGAATTAGATACGTTCGTTGAAATATGATAATCCGAAATTTTTCGAGATTACAATACTTCGTACAAGGAAGTAAAAAGAACGCAGAGGATAAAACAACTTAAAAATAAATTAATAACAAAACGTTAAAAGTCTAAATCTTGAAAGGTATCACAGTACATCTTTTTCTTACATTTTTCTTACATTTCATTTATTTATTTATTATTATTATTATTTTGTACATCCTTTCTGTATATTTTTTTATATTACGGGAGATAGCATTTGAAACCAAAATTATTTACTCGCAACTGATCAATCTGAAATAGGATTTAGAAATATATCATATTTATAAATTTTTTTTGGAAATGCTAAGATATTTTTATGTTGCTTAAATGCTTCAAAAATATTCCGCTTTGAAACTAACTTCATAAGTTTAGGTTTTTCTGTTATGTATATAACTATTTAACGATTGCGAAAAACCATTTTATGAAAAAGAACAAGTGGTACCGATCTGGCTTGTTACTGCCAAAATATAAAAGCTTACTGCATAGTAAAAGAACTACTGGGTTATTTTCTGGATGGTAGCCGAGATTTCACTTTTTTTTTTTTTTTTTTTTTTTTTTTTTTTTTTTTTTCATTTCGGTTAGTAGAAAATTTTCCAGCGTCTTGTTTACTGTCAGTACTTTTCCGCTTTACTTTCAACATCAAGCCAGTTTCGCAATATCAAAACTTCGAAACTTTTCTAGAACTCAAGTTTTTTTTTTTTTTTTTTCAACTGAAAGATGAAAAAAAATCGAAGTTCGCTCAAAAAACTGGATGCAAATCGCATATATCTTCTTTTCAAATCCTACCTTTTTATTTTATTTTTAAGAATATTTTACGTGGAGAATTTATCCGAAGACAATTAAGCATTTCAAAATATATGGACGGATGACACGTCCCAACACTAATTACGTTTAGATATGTCATTTAAATGCAGCGCGAATTTCTGTAATTACTACTATGGAATTTTAGATTTTTCTGAATGTGACAAGTTTAATACTTTCGATAATTTCGAAATTTTTCATTTCTATTTTATTCATCAAAATACTTTTATATTCAATTGCAATTTCTTCTAAAGTAAATTTGCTTTAGAATTTTCGGAAATATGCATGCAGAGTAAATATATTAAAAAATTCATGCTAGAAGACTGAACTTATAATTGCTCTAAATTCTACACTCTCGGGACAACGAATTATGAGAAAATGGCGTTTTCGGAAATACATAAAGTCGTTCTCCATTGCCTTCATTGCCAATTTCGACAAATAATGTCGATGCCAAAACGTATCCTACATATAAAAGCTTTTTAGTGAAGAAAATATGTATATGTATAGTATTCAAATAATACTAATATAGACTAATTAAATGGCAATCTTGATCTAAAACAATGGTGTTGAATGCGTTTCCGGAATTTCATTAATTTATAAATGTAAATTTAATTTAAAAATGAGTGGTTTACCTCCTTGTTATCTAAGTTTTGCTTCATTTGTGGCATCTTTCAGAAATATTATTTTAAATCTTGACCGCAAAAAATTTCGTAACATTATAAGTAATTTCCAGGCCGTGGATGTTTCATGAATTTTCACTATTTATCCAACGAAAAAAATTACCTTCCCTCCACTAACACACACAAAATTTACTTTAGGAGCCGCCCAATAGCACTCAAGGTTAATATGTACACATGTAATTCTTCTGTAAATTCCCATCTGTACTTATAGCGCCCTTGCATGGGAGGTATGTACGCCCTCGATGACGAGAATCCCGGGGGTGCTTTTTTAAGTAGGACTGACCTCTGGATGAATCCCGGTGCGAGACTCCTGTGTGGTTCCACTCAAAATCGAACCACGATCCTCTGAAATACCGGCTCAGTGTGCTGACCACTACACCACGACGGCACGCTAGGAAGGTGGGAAAAATACCTTATAACCTCAAGAAGGTGCTTGAAATGCGAAGGTTAATGTACTATTTTTAATACAAAGTCTAATAACTATGTATAACATGCTGCGATAAATTTATGAAATTTCGGTGCAAAATACAGAAAAAATACATAAAAATAATAAAAAATTGCACGTAAATACATGAAAAATTTCAAAATACAGAAAAACCTAAAATACCAAACGCAATCAAAAACAGTTTAAAAAACAATAAAAATATAAATAAAAGTTTAAAATAAAGGTTCTACCTTAAAACCAATAACTCTGTCAACGAGCAGGAAGACAAAATTTTAGGTGCACAGAATTGAAAGCTAACTTTCGTCTCAAAAAAACACGCTGAAGTGGTGCACAAACTGACTTAATTCACTATTTTTCTAAGAGGTTCAATGTAAACAAATGGTGGCCTCGTTAGGCGTAGCATCACTTTTAAATTGTTTGTAGTTTTACAATTATTTCATGCACATTAATTAAAGGCATAGAAACCTTAACGGAACATAAGAAACACTTAATTCAATCATTTTTAAAGCAAAAAGCGCACAATTTACCAACATATAAGAAGAAAAGAATAGAGCTCACGGAGAAGGAATTTTTTATTAATTATTATTAATATATTTTTTATTATTATTAATCGAATATGAGGTTATTTATTTATTATTCAATATTTTTATGTTTTATTTAATCATTATAAGTAAAAAATATGAGATTTTTAATTTATACTGAATATGGGTTTGTTTTTCTTTTGTAATTATTATTTTTTGCGGTGAAATAAGAGAAAAAGCTGCAAACGCTTTTTACAAATAAAACTTTTTTTGGCTGAGACGGGAGGGGGGGAAATACCTATTATAAATGTTTTATAAGTTTAAAAAATTATTGCATTTTTTAAAAACTAATGCTTGAATATTTTGATTGCTTTGTCAATAAAATTTTGCATACTTTTATTTATTTTTTTATTTTGTGTATTTTCAGATTTTAGTAAGCTAATCCTTAATTTCAGTGCATGTCTAACTGTATTTGAACGACAAATAAATTTATGTTAATGAGATATATAGTGATTTTTTAGAGAGGATAATAAACACATAAAATACAGAAGCATTTACAGTGATATTTTTTTTAGAGTAATATACTTAATAAAGAGTATTTACTTAATAAAGAGTATATTACTTAATAAAGAGTAATAATACTTAATAAAGACTTAATAAAGAGTATATTAATCTGAAATGTAAGTTTTTTTTTTTTTTTTTTTTTTTTTTTTTTTTTCTGATTTCTTTCTATTCAAAAACAATTATAGGATTATTTTTCTGGAACCGAATAAAAAGGAATTATTTACTTTTACAACTAGATTTGTCCTTTGTTTTTAGAAAGGAAAATAGACGAATGCCCAGTTAACAAAAACAAAAGTATCACAAAAGTATAAAAAATAAGTACATAATCTAGCAGATTTTATTTCACGCGTTCTGAAGAAAAATTCAAAATAATAAAACCCAGAATGCAATTACAAAAGTATAAAATTTCTGAGATTTCATGCTCTTATGAAGCAGGATATTCGGTTGGAGCTGCTTCATAAGAACATGAAGCTACGTTGTCGTGAACAACGTAGCTAAATAAAAATGAGGCATTTGGTTGAAATAACGACAATATAAATCAGATATAAGTAGTTATAAAGAGAAATAACCTCTCAGAGGAGAAAGTTTCCTTTAAAATAATTCAATTCAATTATTTCTTTGTTAGTATAGTTTTTAAGAATTGTGAAATGCATAGAATTATTTTTACCTACAATGTAAATATAGAACTTTACAATAAAAGTATTGTAAACACAATTTTTTTTAGTCCAAAGTGGCAATTTGCTCAGAAGAACTATTAATTTCGTTTTGGCATTTTGTGTTGGTTCACTATAAATGTCGGTTCACTTTTTAAATTGTTGCCACCAAATATTAGAACCCAGTATTATACCGGGTGGCCATAATTAAACTGACAGTACTCACAGTGTTCTGTAGCGCGATCTATTTGCGAGAATGACGCCACTTTTTGTAGGAAGATTAAACAAGACGGGGGACGAAGGATTCGGCGAAAAAAAAATTAGTTCTAAAATTCACCGCTAGGGGAATATTTGGCGCTGTGTAATAGAAAATAGAATGTTAACAAATGCAAATT